GTTAATTGTCGTGTGGGTGCTGGGAATGAAACTCAGGTCCTCTGGAAGAGCAACCAGTGCTCTTAACCACCAAGCCCATCTTCTCTCCAGTCCCATCTTCATTTGTCGTGATCACAATGTCAAAGATTTATGTATCTCTCTCTCTCTTTTTTTTCTTTAAGGAACAAACAGATGTAATTACTACCTTAATTCTTTTTTTTTTTAAAGATTTTATTATGTATACAACGTTCTGCTTCCATGTATATCTGTACACCAGAAGAGGGCACCAGATCTTGTAAGGGATGCTTGTGAGCCACCATATGGATGCTGGGAATTGAACTCAGGTCCTCTGGAAGAGCAGCCAGTGCTCTTAACCCCTGAGCCATCTCTCCAGCCCTTATGTATCTCTTTTTGCAAAGCATGGTTTTAAACAACTTTCAGTATGGTTTGGTGGTTCGTATCTGTATCCCACACCTCCAGTGGCTGAGGCAGGAAGATTTCTGTGACTTTGAAGACAGCCTGGGCTATGTTGTAAGACCCTGTCTCAGCCACTACAACAAAAATTCAGTATCTTTTTACTTTGCATTTTATTTTGCTCAGTTGAAGATTGTTCTTACCTTGTGCATCTTCAGAGTCTCTGTTTTTTACCCCTTAGCTCCATAAGTGAGTTCTCAGCTCATCTGCTTCAGTTGTCTCTATTTGTTGACAATTGGATGCAAGGCCACAACTTTCTGAGCTCCCTTTAACTCTCTCTAATTTTTTAGAAATTGATTTTTTATGTGCATTGGTGTTTTGCCTGTGTGAGGGTGTTATGGACAGTTGTGAGCTTCCATGTGGGTGCTGAGAATTGAACTCAGGTTCTCTAGAAGAACAGTCAGTGCTTTTTTTTTAAAAAAAAGATTTTATTTATTTATTATGTATACAATGTTCTACTTGCACATTTGCCTGCATCTCAGAAGAGGGAAGAGGGCCCCAGATTTCATTCCAGATGGTTGTGAGCCATCTGGTGGTTGCTGGGAATTGAACTCAGGACCTCTGGAAGAGCAGCCAGTGCTCTTAACCTCTGAGGCACCTCTCCAGCCTCTCACTTTACCTCTTAGCAAGTTCATTTTTTTTCTTAACATTTTCAGAGAGTTTTAGATTCATAGCAAAATTAATCAGAAGACACAGAAATACCTCTGACCTCTCCACGTGAGCCCTTCCTTCCCCATTATCCACATCCTGGAAGGCCAACCTCTGTCATGATGGAGAACTGATCAGACGATGCATAGCCCTGGGCTCCATACCCAGAACCACCAAGCCTCTGACAGCTCATCTCCGCCATCTGCTGGCATTCCCAGCTGACACTGGAGTTCACTCCTGCGGGCCTGGCAGATGTGCCAGATGTGGGTCCCTCCCTCCCTCATGGTGATAGCATATGAATCATTGGCCCAGCCCTAGCCATCCTGTGTACTTTGCCTTCATCTTCCCCTTCACAACCCAGTGACTGTACCCACAGTCTGCCTTTTCCACCCTGTTGTGTAGCTGGAGTCATGCAATGTGAATACCAGTTTATATGGAAGCCCACTAGTAGGGTGCAAGGTAGTCACCTCCAGGCATTTCGTGACTCTGTAGCTCTTTTCTTTTTGCTGTTTTGCTTGTTTGCTTTTGAAACAAGATCTTGATGATTGCCCTAGAACTTGAATCAGTCTTCCTGCCTCTGCCTCCCAAGTGCTGAGATTATATGCGTGTACCACCATCCCTGGCTCTGATACTGTATAAAATCCCATTGGCTAGATGGTGGTAGTAGTTTCCTCTGCTAAAGGATTATTAGTTAGCTCTTGGTCATTGTAGGGAAATATCAGAGATAATTGACTTGTTGAGAGAAAAGTTCATTTTTGCTCACGGTTCTGAGGTTTCTGGTTCGTGTGGGTCTCTGGCTGCCTTTGGCCTCTGGCGAGGTACCACAGTGCAGTGCTGGAGAGGGGAGGAGTGAAACTGCTCACCTGATTAGCCATAGAGCAAAGAGGAAGAGGGAGAATGGTAGACTGGGTCCCAACCTCCCCTTCAGGGGTATGCCCACAACACCGCAGCTCCTAAAGTGCCTTCCAGTAGAGCACCTGGGACCAAGCCTTTAATGCATGGGCCCTTGAGGGACTTGTCCAGACCACAGCAAACAGCTCAGTTGCCCTCAAGTCTTAGCCATTATAAACAAAGCTGCTCCAGACAGCTCTATGGCCATCTGTGTATGGAAGCTTTCCGTCCCTTGGGTTAGCACACATGAGCACACCTGCCAGGTCACATGAAGAGTGTAGTTAGCTTTGTAAACAACCATGAGTACACTCCAGAGTGGTCTGCCATCTGTCCCAGCAATGAATGAAAGCTGAAAGTCAGTTATTTCCATTCTTCCCTTTTTTCCCTTGATACAAGGTCTTATGTAATGTGGAGCTCTGTCTGGTCTTGAACTCCATAGCCTCCCAGAACTCACAGAGATCCACCTGCCTCAGCCTCCCCACCACACCCAGCCTTGTCCCAGTTCTTGTTAGTATTGGTGTTGTCAAGGTCATTGGATGCATGGTGGTAGTGTGTTTGTTTAATTTGCATGTCCTAGATGACGTATGATGTAGGGCCTCATTCATATGTTTGGCTAGTGGGCATTGAACCCACACTCACACATGCTAGACAAGGGCGTCACCACCAAGCCACAGCCCCAACCCTCCTATACTGCTTTGTCATCTTTGGTGGGATGTCCATGTCTTTGGCCAATTTTTGTTTGTTTTCCTGTTTTGAGTTCTAAGAGCTCTTTGTGTATTTTGCATGAGGTCTTTATTGGATGTCTCTTTGCAAATGTGTTTTTCTACTCTGTGGTTTGTCCTTGCCTACTCTCAACATCTTCTGAAGAGAGAAACCTTTTCTCCTCGAGTCCACTTTACCACTAATTTCTATCATGAATATGTCTAAATTCCATTTGGACTGAAGGATGTCAAGAGTTTCTCTTCCCTGGATTTTCCTGTGTAACGCTGTTGCTGTGATGTTGCTCTGTGTACTGCCACATGTTTCTCCATGTGTGAAGTCTGGAAGGGGCTTTAGCTCTTGTAAAATTATCACTGGCTTTCATTTTACTCCATTGTGAGTGGAGGACATGGATTGTGCAGTGTAGACTCTGAAGAGAGGTCAAAATCCAGTGGTGGCCCCGAGTAGGCTTGACTTTCCAATTATTTGTTCGCTTGTTTTTTTTGTTTGTTTTTGTTTTTGTTTTGATTTTTTGAGACAGGGTTTCTCTGTGGCTTTGAAGGCTGTCCTAGAACTAGCTCTTGTAGACCAGGCTGGTCTCGAACTCACAGAGATCCACCTGCCTCTGCCTCCCAAGTGCTAGGATTAAAGGCGTGTGCCACCACGCTGACAAATAATTGGCTGACCTTCCAATTATTTGTGTATGTTGTAGAAGAGTATATGATTGAGGGCAAGGTTCAATGTTCGCTAGTTAAAATTTGTCTATTGAGTTGCTAAAGGAATCGATACTTTTGCATATATATTTTAATATTTTATGTGTATGGATATTTACCTGCATGCATGTGTACCCATGTGTGTTGCAGTGCCTGCAGAGGCCAGAAGAGGGCACAAGATTTTCTGGAACTGTGGTTACAGTGGATTGTGAGCTGCCATGTGGGTGCAAACTTGGGTCCTCTAAGAGCAGCTAGTGCTCTTAGCCCCTGAGCCATCTCTGTAGCCCCTGCTTATATTTTCCTAGTTTCCTGCAGGTCTATGAGTTGTTATCTGTGTGTGCTGATGCACTTGCCTGTGTGTGCACATCTGGAGACCCGAAGTTGACAGACATCCCGTATCTTCCTCTGTCACTCTCCGTATTATTATTAATAAGGCTCTCACAGAACCCAGAGCTCACTGTGTCAGCCAGGCTGGCTGCTCAGCAAAGCCGAATCCACCTGTCTTTGCTCTCCGGTGCTGGAGTTTAAAGCTTGTATCACCATGCCTGCCTTTTTACACCGGTGCTGGGATCTAAGCTTCAGTCTTCATTCTTATGCCCCAAGGACTACAGAGCCCCCAATTGTCCTTAAAATATCTTAAGATATCTTAGAGCCAGGTGTGGTGGTTCACACCTATAATCCCCGCCCTTGGGAGGTAGAGAGAGGCAGGGGGATCAGGGGGTCAAGGCCAGTCTGGCTACATTTACATTTTTTTTTCTGAGACAAGGTCTCATGTAGCCCTAGTTGGCTTGACTAGGCTAGCCTCAAACTTGTGCAATCCTCCTGCCTCTGTCTCCCTTGTGGTATTCTTTCAGCACAGATAGGAAACGTTACTGGCTTTCTTCCAGCAGCACTGGAAGTCCCATGTAATTTGGTCATTTGTAAGTGGTCTGAACCTCTGAATTCTCAGATGCAGGTTTTTTTTTTCTTTATCTTTTAACCTGTTTTGTTTTGTTTGACAAGGACTTCTTCTGTAGCTAGGCTGGACTGGCATTCACAGTGTAGCCTGGGCTGCCCTTGAACTCAATTCTCTAGCCCTAGGCTCCCTTACATCATGAGCCACCAGGCTCTGTATTTGGCATTTATGAGAACACTCTTGCCTGTCTATCCCTGAAGGTATTTCCAGGTATTTCCTTCACTGGATAGAGTGTGACGCCCCAGGTGTCAGTGTGGAGCCAGGGATGGATGGTGGGAAACACTGCCCAACAGGCTCAGCTCCAGCTACTATCTGGTGCCTCTCACCGTCAGTGCACCTACTGTCCACTAGAGGGTGCTGCCGCCCAGGCCTCCTGGCTGGCTCTGGAGACATACACCACAGTGAGGCACCCAGGACCAGTTTGTGAAAAACCTGTCACCTGCTTGTGGTGGGCTCTCCCTAGCCCTGATCTGTTTCTCTCTCACATGGTGGTCCCACTTTGTCTCCCCCTAAGGGTTTCTCATAGCTACGGTGTTGAACCCTCTCAGAGGAGGAGTCATCCTTGGGACTGTGAGGTTCAGGAAGCCTTGTCTACAGTCTTCCCATGCTAATTTCACCCGTGTCTTTTGTCTCTTCTACAGTCAGACTGGTTCTTCAGTGATGATGAGGACAAAGGAGAGAGAGTAAGTGATGAGAGGGTGGGTGGGTATGGTCTGAGGTGACCCACCTGTCCTGGAAGGGGGTGTGTGTGCAGCAGGATTCAAGGGGATGTGGTAGTGGAGAGATGGCCAGCGGCCACATTCAGCTCTCACAAGCACCTCCAACTCCTAATGCCCCGCCCCTGCTCTCCATGGGCACTCCACTCTTTCACAAATAATCACACATAATTAAAAATAAAAGAGGCTGGGGCTGGAGAGATGGCTCAGCGGTTAAGAGCACTGACTGCTCTTCCAGAGGGCCTGAGTTCAATTCCAGGCAACCACATGGTGGCTCAAAACCACCTTGAATGAGATCTGGTGCCCTCTGCTGGCGTGCAGACAGAAGACTGTATACATAATGAATAAAATCTTTAAAAACAAAACAAAAACATTGCTTTAAAAATAAAAGAGGCAGCTGGGCAGTGGTGGCGCACGCCTTTAATCCCAGCACTTGGAAGTCAGAAGCAGGCAGATCTCCGTGAGTTCAAGGCCAGCCTGGTCTCCAGAGCGAGTGCCAGGATAGGCTCCAAAGCTACACAGAGAAACCCTGTCTCGAAAAACCAAAAATAAATAAATAAAAATACAAAACAAAAAGATTGAAACAAAGGAGGATCCTTGACCCAAGGCACCTGTAGTCTGATGGGGGAGGCATAGCCCTTCCCTTCAGAAGTGCCAATCTGATGGGGAGACACAGTCAAACCCTGAGAAGCCCAGTATTTAGCATGTAGGATAGTCCAGTCTGATGGGAGAGACAAGGCCCTGTTCTCAGCTGAGAGAGCCTTCAGAGTTCCGTCCTGGTGGGGTGACACCTGACAGCACTTCCCATTGAGGAGCCAGCCCCACCCTTGGAGGAGACTGAATCCTGTCACCAGGCCACCACATTCTGAGGAGCCTGAGGGCTGGCCATCGGGAGGCTGCTGGCTGACCCCCTCCCCTGTTTGCAGACTCCTGTTGATGACAAGGAGCCACAATCTGTGCCCAACATTGAGTACCTCCTGCCCAACATTGGCAGGACAGTGCCCCCCAGTGATCCAGGCTCAGGTAAGTGCAGGGACCTGGGAGGGGAGAGACGGGGGTGGTGGTTCTGCCTTCCAGAGGGTCCCAGATGCTTGGCCAGATGTTTATCTTCCCTCCCCCCCATAAGATCCTGGCCTGGCAGCACCCCAAGAAGGCCATAGTGGCCTTTCTCCCTCTCTGGGAAAAATGCAGCTGTGTGTTGAGCATCCCCAGGAGTGGGCAGGGCTGTGTTCGGCCATCTTCACTGGTCTCTCTGGATCCTCACAGCTGGCCGTGTTCTTCCGGGTGCATTCCTCCTTATAATCTCTCTTCCTTCTCTCCCTGTGCCCTGTCCCTCTTCTCTCCTCAATCTCTGCCACCTCCTCTGTCCCCCCTTCCCTCTTCTTCTCCCGCCCTCCTCCTCCAGCGGACCTGTTGGAGATTTAAAGGGTATAGTGCGGTGTCGCGGCCTCGGTCACTAACAGTGGCGGGTGATTATAAGAAGGCTGGGCAGGCATAAGTACTAGACATGTCCCCAGCTGACATAGCAGTTGGCAGTGCTGGTCCACGACTGGCCCGTGGCCCCATCCTGCCTCCTCCTATCCTTGTGTTCCCTTGCCCTGCCACCAAATGGCTGCCCTTCCCAGCCCCCAGCTCTGTGGCCTTCCATGTGCAGAACAAGTACTTCAGGTCGACCAAGACGAGGGAAGCTTGTCTGTGGACCCAGCCTCTCCTGGGACCAGTGATATCACTCCTAGATGCTATTCTAAATGACAACCCCTACCTCAGTTCAGGCCCTGGACACTCATCCTGGAAGCCCTGTTCCAGAGGAAGGGTGGCTTCTGTGCTGAGGCCCTTTAAGTGAATGACCCTTTTCTCCTATGTCTGGCTACACTGCCAGTTCTTGTCCCAAAGGGAGGGGGCCCTGCAACAGCAGTAGTCATGAGATGCGGCTTGGGGGTGGGGTGGAAAAGGGAAGCCCCCTGTCTCTTCTAATCACCTGCTGCCGCCTGCCCTATGTGTGTTGAGTGTGGTCGGCCATTCTTGCTCTTCTCACCATTTGCAGGGGGAGGGGGCTGGGGAGGGGCCTCTAACCTGCCTGCCAAGAGAAAGAGAGTGTGTGGATTAACTGCACCTGCTCGCTATCCCAGGCCTGTGAACCAACCTGTTCCTTCTCCAGCCGTGGGGAGGATACTACCAGGTCTTGTTATCTGGTTCCTTCTCCATTCTGGAGACACAGCTGTACCGGTTTTGACTGGCTGTAAAAGGGACCTTGCCCCTTAAGGGCAGGTTGATGTTGGCTCTATCACCAGTCCACTGCCCCTGTGTCTTATCCACCTCATTTCTGCTCTACGTGGTCACTTAATGGGGTCCCTTTTCCTTCTCGTGGGGTGGGGGTGGGGCACACCTCTCTGCACTGTGTGGTCGCCATGCTCTTCAGAGTATCTGTGATGTGCTGTGTGCACCATTGTGACTTCTGTGGACTGCATCTGATACTGGCATTTTCTCTCCAGTGCTTCAGAGTCACGGGGCAGGAGGGGGATGGGGAGAGGAGCCAGGCCCAAAGAAAAGCCTCCTTTGTCCTTAACCCTGGGCAAGTGAAGACTCAGGGGCCCACAGCCTGTTGTCACTTCCTGCCTCTTAAAGGCTAACATCATCTTACGCTCTGGGTCATCCCATAGAAAATGCTCTCAGAACCAATGGCACTGCTAGGGCCTGGGGAGAACAGCTTCATCTCTGCACCTTTGAGGCAAGGAAAATGCATTAATGTGACCCCAGCTTAGCCTTCCTGCTCTAACATTTATTTATTTATTTTGTCAACAGATTCCACCACCTGTAGTTCAGCCAAGTCCAAGGTTAGTAGTGCCAAGGTGTCCTAAATGCATTCTGCCTGGACAAGGCAACCCACTTTGGTTTTTGGTCAAGAGGATTAGAAAGGTAGTGAGACTCTTCGAGAAGGAAGGTGGGAAACACTGAGTGTCGAGGGGAAACTGAGATGTTAACCTTGGTTGTGCTTGGAGAAGCATCTGATACAGAAGAAGGGCTGGCCTTCTTCAGTTGGGTAGCTGAGAGGCCTGCATCATTAGACTGACTCTGAAGGCAGAAAATCCTGAGTCTGAGACCTGGCTTTGCCACTTAGTTTTAGGATATTGGGGTAATCTTTCTGGATTGCAGCTTCCTTTTCTGTAAAATGAAAATAATAGCAAATATGTCTGCTGTGATAAATATGTTTTAAGGTTTCTAGGGAAAGCTGAGTATGGTGGCTCATGCCTATAATTCCAACATTTGGGAGACAGCCTGGAGTACATACTGAGGTCCAGGTTAGCCAGGGCTACTTAGCAAGATCCTGTCTCAAAACCAACCAACCAAACAAACAAACAAGCAAAAAGAGGGCTGTATGGGAACACTTAACATAGTAAAAGTAAGGAAATAATAAGATGAGTGAGAAATCAATGAAATTGAAAACAATTAAGAAAAATAAATGAAACTACAAGCTGTTTCTGGAGGTGGGGGGGAAATCAATAAAATTGATAAACTTCTAACCAGACTGACAGAATAAAGAGATGGCACAAATTGCCAGTGCTAAGGATGACACAAATATATCTACAGCCACACAGACACTGCTAACACAGGGGCATGAGTACAGACCACACAGACACTAACACAGGAACAATGACAGTTTAGTCAGCAGTGGGTAATATATGAAAGTGGTCCCATACAGCCTTACACGTGTGGAAGGTTAATACTGTCAAGTTTATGTAACTACACGCCATGATGTTCACACATGTTTCTTAGAATTCATCCTCACTAGGAAGTGATCCACAACTAAATTTGTCTACTATTTAAATATTTATTTAACGAATACTTAGGGGCTAGAGGGAGGGATGGCTCAGCTGTTGAGCAGGAACTGCTCTTGCAGAGAACCCGAGTTCAGTTCCCAGCACCCCACATTTGGTGGCTCACACCATCAATAACTCTAGCTCCAGGGCATCTAGCACCCTCTTGTGTCCTCCAGGCCCCTGCATGCATGCATGCACATATAAGCACACACACACAGGGCACACACAGTAACACACACAGGCACACACAGACATGCACAAAAATAAAAACAAATCTAAAAATAATGTTATTTAATTGCTTACATACCGCAGGGGTTGGAGAGAGAGATATCTCAGAGATTAGAAGTGCTGGCTGCTCTTGCAAAGGACCTGGGTTTGGTTCCCAGAACCCACAGGGCAGCTCACATGGGGGGTAACTCATTTGCCTGTAACTCTAGTCCCAGGAGATCTGATGTCCTCTTTGGGCATTGCACTCATGTTGAACGCATATGCATGCTCTCACATATATACATAAAGTAAAAAATAAATCTTAAAAAATAAACACATGCCGGGCAGTGGTGGCGCACGCCTTTGATCCCAACACTTAGGAGGCAGTGACAGGTGGATCTCTGTGAATGAGAGGCCAGCCTGGTCTACAAAGCTACACAGAGCAACCCTGTCTTGAAAAACCAAAAGAGAGAGAGAAAGAAAAGAAAAATAGATAAAGATAGAAACATACACACACAAAAACCCTACTATCACTTCTCCAAAATGTCTCCCAGGAGGTAGAAGAGGCAGGAATACTCAACTCAATGTATGACAACGGCATTCCCCAACACTTGAGGCTGCCAGTGTCTCTAGACAACAGAATACACATTGAATCATGCCACAGACCCCAGCTGAACCTCCTTTACATGGCATCACTGTACTGAATGGTGAGGGACACGAGAGAGATGGCTCAGTGGTTAAGACTACTTACTGCTCCTCCAGAAGACCTGTGTTCAGTTCCCAGTCCCCACATTGGTTAGCTCACAACCACTAGTAACTCTGGGTCCCAGGACCTACACTGTTTTCTGGTCTCCACAAGTCACCTTATAGACACAGGCGCATGCACACACACACACACACACACACACACAGAGAGAGAGAGAGAGAGAGAGAGAGAGAGAGAGAGAGAGAGAGGAGATGTCACACACATGAAGTCACAGCCACACACTTCAAGAAGTAAAACAGATAAGCAGATAGGTTCCTATCCACACAGGGCCTGTCTTGGAATGAATTCCAGTGTTGTGTTAATGAGCACTAGCCGGTAGGGTACTGAACACGGTGGAAGCAGAAGCTGGGTGTAGTTTACAAGCCAGATCACTGTGAGGAAAGGGGAAATGCATGAACAGACATGAGAGCCCAGCTGAGACATCAGAGCAAAACTGCAAAGCCCTGTGGGTAGAGGGAGGCTTGTGTGAGAAAAGATGGGACTGAGGCTCCCCGCATCCCCCATCCCAACCCCAGAGACAGGAGAAGGTACCTTAAGGGGTAACAACGAGATGGAAACAGACGGCAAGCCTCAAGCCCCTGGTGGTGGGGTCATGAGGGCCTCAACTGAGTCAAAGTCTAAAGTGGGTTGAGGAGGCCTCAGAAAGCTGCTCTACTCAGCCAGCTCAGTGTCAGACAGCCATGTCCTCTGTAAGAGCCCCTAGACAAAAGTCCTCCTCATTATCCTCTATGGCCACACCTGTCTGCAGTAGACACCTCCCTAATGCCTCCCAGCTGTGGGATTCCAGCTTCCCCAGATTTGGGCCTCCTTGATCCCCGTGTCAGCCTGTCCGCTCCTCTGGAGGCTTCAGCTTAGCCACAGAGCCTTGAACACACACAGTGTGCTTTTCAGAAAGTGTGCGTGGAGACTGACTTGGACATCCAAGAGTCTAGTGAGTTACTCCGTGACTAAAGAATGGGTTCACACTTGCAGTCACCCACTCACGCCCACTCCATGCCATCTTTACAAGGCCCCTGGGCTCTGCACCATTGTCACTGCATAGACGGGAAAGGCAATGCTCAGCTCAAGCGATTACAAGTTTGGGTATGGTCTCCGTCATGGAGGGGTGGGGATCATCAGGTGTCTCCTCTTTCCTCATCGAATGCCTTGGGGACCCAGTTTTGATCCTAAATTCAGTTCTCAGCGCTGCCTCTTGTTGCCACCGATGTTTGTGTTTAAAATCACATCAGCAGCTACCACTAAGCTCTTGGGGGTGCTCTTTCTGAGCATGTCGCATCTGAAGAAACCAGTGCTGGAGTGGGAAGGGTGGGGAGCTGGAGGGATGGCTCAGTGGTTAAGAGCAGAGGACCTAGATTCGGTTCCCAGCACCCACATGGCAGCTCACATGACTGTTACTTCAGATCTGGGGATCCAATGCCTTTTTCTGACCCCCACAGCAATAGGCATGAGTATGGTGCACATACATACACACAGGCAAAACACTCAAACACGTGCAAAAAAAAAATCTAAAATACATTTTAAAAATAATCTGGAAAGACCCATATTGTGGGGTCTTTCCAGATTATTTTTAAATAATAATAACATGGACAGGTCCAGCTTCAGGAGGCTCCCAAGCCTCTGGCCTCCTCGGGCACCTGCACTCAACTTCACACACCCATACAGACCCATACACACACACACACACACACACACACACACACCCATAAAATAAATATGAAAAAAAGGAAAAGAAAGAAATCTAGAGTTGGAAGCTGGGTGTGGTGGCGCACGCCCTTAATCCCAGCACTGGGGAGGCAGAGGCATGGAGATCTCTGAGTTCAAAGTCAGCCTGGTGTAGAGAGTGAGGTCAGCCAGAGCTACATAGAAGTCAGTGAATTGATCTAGGACTGGGGTTTGGCTGGTGAAAAGAAGTGACCAGGGTGGTGCCCTGGAGAGGAAGGCTTTTCAAGTGCTGTGGGTGGAGAGTGAGAACCGTAGGTTCTTGTAGCCAAGGAGAGACCAGCACGAAGCATTAGCATTTACAACCGGGTCGGGGGATCCAGTACCCGACACACTGTCGAGGACTGTCAGTAGTACTGCTGAAGAATTTTGTCTGAAAGTGGCTGGAGAAGACCCTCCTCAGCTCCCAGATCAGAGAGGATGCTGAGTTACAGATAGGAACACGCGGTGGTGATCCTTGGGTGATGGTGATACTCCGGCAGGCACCGAGTGGGTGGGAACCTTCTCACCTGCCGGTGGGGGGACTTGCTTGTTTGGACATGGTGATTGGATGCCATGGTATGTATGGGGTGGGGAGCAGGAATGTGCAACGTGATGAGTCCTTCCTTACCTTCATTGTCTCCTGGCACAGGGTTCGTGGGTCCCCAAGAAAGAGCCTTACGCCCGGGAGATGCTGGCGATCTCCTTCATCTCTGCGGTCAACCGCAAACGGAAAAAGCGGCGCGAGGCGCGGGGCCTGGGCAGCAGCACCGATGATGACTCCGAGCAGGAGGCACACAAGGCCGCGGCGGGGACGCAGGAGCCACCCGAGGAGCAGCTGCCGGACCCCGCAGCGGTGAAGACCCCTGGTCCCCAATCCCCCGCGACGGCACCCGAGGAGCGGCCTGCGGCGGACACGCGCTCCATCGTCTCGGACTACTCCACCCTGTCCGCCATGGACCGCAGCGTGTGCTCGGGCACCGGCGGGCGGCGCGGGCCCCGGGGGGCGCCTGTCCCGCCGGCCGTCCTTCAGCTCACACCACCTTATGCCGTGTGACACGCTGGCGCGCCGTCGCCTGTCTCGCAGCCGCGCGGATGGAGAGAGTCCGGGCGCCGGCCCGGCCCGGGCGGGTCCCCGCGGTCCCGAGCCCCCGAGCTCGGCGTCGTCCAGCAGCCAGGAGTCGCTTCGGCCCCCGGCGGCTGCCCCGGCGCTCGGGTCACGACCGTCGCGCGTGGAAGCCCTGCGGCTGCGTCTCCGTGGCACCGCCGACGACATGCTGGCGGTGCGGCTTCGGCGCCCGCTGTCGCCCGAGACCCGGCGGCGCCGGAGAAGCTGGCGCCGCCACACGGTGGTGGTGCAGAGCCCGCTGACCGACCTCAATTTCAACGAGTGGAAGGAGCTGGGCGGAGGGGGCGCCCCGGAGCCCACGGGCGCTCGACCGCACAGTGACAACAAGGACTCAGGTCTCAGCAGCCTGGAGTCCACCAAGGCACGCGCTTCATCCGCTGCCTCGCTGCCATCGGGGGACCTGGGGAACCTACAGGGCCTCCCCCCTCGCCGCTCGACTGCCGCCCGCCTCCACCAGTGTCTGTGACACCCTGTCCGGGGGTCAGATGGGGAGGAAGGGCGGTGCTGGTGCCGCGGGCTGGAGTTGGGTGGGATGGGCAGAGGAGAATGGAAGCGGGAGTCCTCTGGAGAGGGAAGGGGCTGCTGGGATTCACGTCCCTTGGATAAAGGGCTGAGTGGCTCATTTCTGTGAGTCCACTTGGGGACTCCTGTTGACAATGGAGTGTGGGTGGAGCGCCCAGGTTTCGAATTGAAGGAAAGATACAGGCTGGTGTTTGCAGCTGCCCTCTGCCCTCCCACCTCCATTAGCTCCTAGCCAAGGAGGGGCGCAGATGTGTAGGGTTGGGTGTCCATGGGAGAGGGGGCTGGGCTTGTGTGTGTGTGAGTGTATGTAGTCACTGTGCAAAGGTGTTTCCAGTAGCAACTTCTGACCCAACCCCTTCATTTCCCCACCTGTCCCCAAGCCAAAGCCCTGCCTTTGGTGTACACAGGCACCTTAACCCCAAGCTTGGCAGGGCCCCAGGCTGGGTTGAGGCCACCTCCAGAGGCAGGCCTGAACCCCACCACTACCAAGTCACTCCTCACACCCTTTGCCACCTCTGAGTCACCCCTCTAAGCCCTTTGACCTGTGGACCTGTCTGCTCCCCAGTTTTGGAGTGTCCAGGACACCCTGCAGCTGGCGCCTCCCTCCCTTTGACCCTGCTCCCACACTTGAGCATGCAGACCCCCTTCTCCTTCCAGAGAACAGTCAGGAAGAACTCATTAATTATGGGGTCTCAGCTGGGCTGCTCCTGAAGGGTGGGTGGGACCCAGCTCCCCTTCCCCCACGCTGTAAATAAACCTTGGAGTACCAGTCCTGCCTCAACCTCCCTCACTCATTCCAGGGAAGCCCCGCTGGGGATGCCAGCCCTGCACCCAAAGCCCTTCAGTCTCCTTGGTTTATGCAAAGATTTGCTGTAAAGTCTCTCTCCCTCCTCTCCCTTTTACTGTAAATATTGTCTCTAATGTGTAACATATTATAAAGAATTTATAAGGATTTTTAAAGATGTTTTGCTCATTTTAAAAAGTGTTGTAACAGTGTTGGATAAAGCCCCCTATGTCTGCATGGCTCCTCCCACGTGTCCCTCTCTAGGCCATAACTAAGATTCCTGCTTCTGAAGTCCTGTCTTAAAGTGCAGTCTATATCTTGGAAATAAATGGCCTTTCTCGGGCATGAACCAGCGTCTCACTTGTTTTGGATGTGGAGACGGACATATCAGCACTGGGATGCAGACCGGTGCGGTCCACATCCTTGCGAGGAGAGCAGCTATGCTGAGTGGCAGGGTGGGGGAAATCTCTTCTCTGGTGGTTTTTGCATCCTAAGAGACTGGTATGAGCAGAGGCAGGCACACAGAGCAGGTGGTATGTTCCTACATCAGCAAGAGGCCTCCAGGCACCCACTCTGCAACACTTGAAGAGGCTCCTTGTTTCTCAAACCTTCAGAGTGGCCACAGGCAAGAGACTTAGCTGTCACCATAGGCACCTCAGTCCCCGAAGCATTGCCAAAGGACAGCATGGGACTTGCCCATTTTTTCAATCATGTGTGTCAATCATGGCTCTCTAGCTGCCCTTAGAGCTCAGAACCGATGTCTCTGGGGGCTCAGAACCAATATCTCTGAGGGTTTGAGAATCCATCTTGAGAGCTTTGCCTTAAATTCCACCTCCAGCCCTCAGCTCAGCGCCATCATTACATCCTTTCTGGAAAACTGAGGCATGGGGCAGGATGTATCTTTCCAAGGTCACCCTGTTCATAAGCTACCGAGTCAGGGAGAAGACACATGGAGTGAGGTTGACACAGAGTAGGGGTGGGGGTGGAACCCCCTCCTCACAGGGTAACCTCTGCAGACAACAATAGACTCTAGAGATGAGATGGTCAAACGTAGATACTTCTAGATAAGAAAAACTGAGAATTCAGCCGCGAGGTGGTGGTGCACGCCTTTAATCCCAGAAGTAGGGAGACAGAAGCAGGCAGATCTCTGAGTTTGAAGCCAGTCTGGTCTACACAGAGAAACTCTCTTGAGAAACAAAAACAAAGGAAAAAAAAAAACCAAAACACTGCACAAAGCAGTAATTGTGAAACTTCTCCATAGAGTTGTGATTTGTATGAATCTAATTGCATGGAGAAGGGGGAGGGGAGAGATCCACATTGGAGTAAAGTTTTGGTTTTTGTTGTTTTGTTTTGTTTTAGTCAGGGTCTCACTGTATAACCCTGGCTGGCCTGGAACTCGCAGCATAGACCGAGCTGGTCTCAAACTCATGGCAATCCTCCTGTCTCAGCCTCCTGAGTGCTGGGGATTACAGATGTGTGCCACTGTGCCTGGTTTATGGTTTGAATCTAAACTGTCTCTCACAGGCTCATATCTTGATCTCGTGGTCCCGAACCCACTCAAGCACTATTTTGAAGTCTGTGGGGCCTGGCTGGCAGAGAGGCAAGCCTTTGAAGACCCTCGTTCCAGCAGGGTCTTCCTGTCTTCATCCAGCTATAGTGTGTTCTCTGCCGTGATGGATCAAAACTTCCTTGAAAGTATGAAGCAAAATAAACCCTTTATTGACGGTCGGTGGTGGCGCATGCCTTTAATCCCAGCATTTGGGAGGCAGAGGCAGGCGGATCTCTGTGAGTTTGAGACCAGCCTGGTCTACCAGGACAGCCTCCAAAGCCACAGAGAAACCCTGTCTCGAAAAACCTAAATAAATAAATAAATAAATAAATAAATAAACCTTTTATTTACTAGGTCGATTTAGATATTTGTTCATAGCAATAAATAGAATAAATTTTGAAAATGGGAGTTTAGAATAAGAAACGATGTGAGCAGTTACGGAGCTAGGGTAACTATTCCAAATACAAGACAGAAATTCTAACTAGGAACAAGGATATTTTGTAACAGTCTATAAGCCGCCAATCAGGAGATAAAGCAGGTGTGTTCCCAAGGACAGTCCAGATGCAGGGAGTCTAGCAGGCTTGATGGGAAACTATACAATTTGGTATGCTGGTTGGAGACTTCAACAGTGCATACTCAGTGGTGGACAGAACTAAGCACACAGCAGAAAGTCCAGCACTGTTAGCCAGCTGTACTCAAGGGTTCTGAAAAACACTCCAAAGGACAGAACACACCTTCTCAGGTACACGTGGAACATTCTCTGGGGTAGACCATAGAGTAGAGCTTAAGCAAGTCACCACGCATGTCAAAGAAGACGAGTCCACAATCTTGTTCTCAACCACAATGGGATTAAGTTAGAAATTGAGAGGTTTGGGGCCACTGAAATGGCTCATCAGGTAAGGGTGCTTGCTACCAAACTTTACAACCTGAGTTTGATCTCCGCAACCCACTGCGTGGAAAAAGAACTACTCTTTTTTTTTGTTTTGTTTTTCGAGACAGAGTTTATTTGTGCAGCCCTTGCTGTCCTGGAATTTGCTCTGTAGACCAGGCCTAGTGCTTGGGATTAAAGGTGTGCACTACCAAGTACACACACCTGGTTGAAAACCACTCTTGAAAGTTGTCCTCTGAGGCTGGGGCTTGTGGCCAATGTCTTTAATCCCAGCACTCAGGAGACATGAGTTCAAGGCTACCCTGGTCTACAGAGTGAGTTCCAGGACAGCCATGGCTGCACACAGAGAAATTCTGTCCCTAAAAAACAAAACAACAAAGCAACAACAAAAAGAAAAGAGAAAGAAAGAAAACTGTCCTCTAATCTCCACACACTCACTATGGCACAGGACCACACAGAAAAGTAAAAAAGACTCACCACAAATCAAGATATATGGCTCAGAGGCTGGGGTATAGCTCAGGTACGGGGCTCAATGCCCAGTACCACACAAGCCAAGCTGAAATGGGTGATCTCAACAATTGGGAGGTAAAGGCAGAAATATAAGAAGTTAAACATCAGCTTTTGCTACATAAAGAGTTTGAGGCCAGCCTGGAATACGTGAGACCCTGCCTAAAAAAAAAACAAAAAAAAAAACAAAAAACAAAAAACAAACAAACAAACAAAAAACGGATAACAACATTGATGTTTAGACAAGATAAATAGAGCAATGTCAATACAATAACAAGAGCTGAAAAAGACATGGAGAAACTAGAACCCTCTTAGGTGGGAATGGAAACCAGAGCTGCTGCTTCAGGATGCTGTGGCTCGGCCAGAAGAGCATGTGCCACGTGCTGGGTCATGCTGGCCAGGATTTGATTCCCAGAACCCACATAAAGGTACGAGAAAGGAACTTACTCCCCAGAGTTGTTCTCTGACCTCCACATACAGACTGCGGCACGTGTCTGCTGCCAGACATACTTGACCATTCATGTCCCAATGATCTAAAGGTGGGCTGACACACACACAAATACCATGTAGCATGTACACGATGGAGAAGGGCTGGGCTGGAAAAGAATGAAGTCCCGATGCCTGTTTTACCACAGTCGCTTCTGCCAACATGGTTTGAGAAAAGAAGCCAGGCTGCTGTGTGATTCCATCCATGGGGGAAAGTATAGGGTGTCCACACAGGGGAAGGAAATGAGTAATTCCCTAGGGACAGGGAGCCACAGAGGAAGAAGCTGAAATGGGTGACAACAGCTGGGGGTCAGCATTTTTGCAGGTATTGAAAATATTCTAAAATTAGATTGCAGTGCTGGCTGCACATCTGCAAACACACTAAGCTGCAGACCTTAAGTGGGAATTTTATAGCATGTGAAATGCACCTGAATAAAGCCATGAAGACTGACAAGCCAACTGCACTCAGGCCTTGCTCCCCTGCCCATAAAGTTTGCTGTTTCCTGGGAAACGTTTCTCAGAAAAACTTCAATTCTGCTGAGCATGGTGGCACACGCCTTTAATCCCAGCACTTGGGAGTCAGAGGCAGGAGCATCTCTGTAAGTTTGAGGCCAACCTGGTCTACAAAGAGAGTTTCGATACAGCTAGAAGTCTGTTAACCAGAGAAACCGTCTGGAGAAACCAAAAATAAAAAGGAAGAAAAATTCCAATTCTATTAGTGTTGAAGGAGAGAAATGCCCCTCACCCCAGCACACACAACTACCACTTTTCTGGCATAAGTGAGGATGGGATCGTGATTACCTGGTCCAACTAAAGTAGTCAGAGATAGTGCCCATTGAAGGGAGTCCTGGGTTTCATTCTGGACCATCATTAAGTGTCACCACCAAGACTCTGACACTCCATTCTCTTCTCCTGAAACACTGGAATGTCACCCACACTGTGACAGCTACAGAAAGAGCCATCTCTGCAGAGACTGGGCAGGTCTTGGACACTTTGCTACTGAAGGGTGCATTGCTCCCACAGGGGCCTGTGTTCGGTTCCCAGCACCCACATCAGGTAGCTCACAACCTCCTGTTCCAGGGGATCCTATACCCTCTTCTAATCTTTTCAGGAACCTTTCCTCACTCATGCACACAAACTCCTCCACCCACCCACAACATGCACACTTGATTAAAAGTAAGATTTTAAAATGTAAGACATCTTCCCATCACTCGCCACAGCTTCTGGAGACATGCAGCTACCAGTGCCTGGCCACGACCCTGCCCATCTCCCTGACTGTCCCCCCTTGAGTTACTGGGATTTTATTTCCTAGAACCCAAAGACTACTTCTCCCCCAGCCCTGTCTAGGACTCTCAGTTATCAACTCTACAAAGTGACTCATCTGTTTGGCTGGTTGGTTGAATTTATTGAGACATCGTCCCACTCCATAACCCAGGCTTTTAACTCCAGGTAATCTTCCTGCACCATGTATGGGATTACAGGTGTGAGCCTTGTCTGACTTTTGTTTTTGGGGGAACAGGTCTCTCACTCTAATTCAAACTGGCTTTAGAGCATCCTGCCTGACTCAGTACACACACGCCCCCAACTGCTGGGATTATAGGCATGCTATTCACTTTTTGTACATTTTATTCATTTATTGATTTACATATCTTATTGGGGCGGGGCACAGTATTTATGTGGTGGTCAGAGGTCAACTTGCAGGAATCAGTGCTCTCCTTCCACCATGAGGCTTCCACCTTTACCTGCTAAGCCATTTCTCAGGTCTTGCTTGTTTTGTTTTGAGACAGGGTCAGTCTCATGAATCCCAGACTGGCCTCCAACTCACCAAGTATCACAATCTGACTTTAATTCTTAATTCTTCTGCTCCCACCTTCCAGGTGCTGGGATGACAGGCATGTGCCCACTGCCAACTCCACTCCTC